CTCTCTTCCTGATCCCTCCAACACTGGAGGAATTCCGGAGCAGTCTTCTCGCTTCAGTACAGTGGCTTGCTTGAATGCCCTGGAGAATCTCCTGGAAAAGGACACAATTAGAAACACTATTATCAAGGCTTTGACTGGAATGGCTGTAGGAATGTGTCCACTGTGACTAGACCCTAAGGCTTTTGCAGCCCAGCTGAAGTTATGGAGTGAATGTTTAGCTGGTGTCTAAGGGGTAGGGGCTCAGAGCTGGGTGTAACGCTCACTTCCCAGCAGGCAGGTTGAGTAAACTCAACCTTGGGAGACCTTGGGTCCAAGATAGGACAGGAATCCACCTCAGTCAGTTGTACCAAGGCGGCAAAGTCTGCTGCTGAATTCTTGACTTCATCTTGTAGTCTGAAAGACAATTCTGAGTTTCCCTAGGTACATGGGCATGGGAAGTGAGGTTCCAACAAGCAAACTCAAGGCATCTTTCTGATAAATTACTTCTCTTGCTGTGGTCTGAATGTTTTGTTATCCAGAAATTTATAAGTTGAAGTTCTGATTCTCGAGGAAATGGTGTGAGGATGTACGTGTGGCCTTTGGTCGCGGGATGGAGCCCCATAATGGCGTTGGTGCCCTGAGACGGAAACACCAGAGAGCTGCCTGCCCTTTCCCACTCAGAAAACGGGGAGGAGCAGCAGACTTTCCGACACCAGGGAGTCTGCTAGTCGCCAGAACTGTGAAAAAAATACATCAGTTCTCCTTTAGGCCACTCAGCAGAAGACGTTCCATGGTGGCGTCCTACACAGACCAAAGTACTACATGCACCGTGTAAATGATTAGTCGAAATCTAACCAGAGCGAAGAATAACAGAGACTGGGCAAGGATGCCGGGACAAATCTCAAAGTGCAGAGGTTGCTTTATTTTTGACCAACAAGGAGACTGCACGGAAAGATCTTGTTTCAGGGGGAAACCGCAGCACCCCACAGTGTGGAGTCTCAGTGTCCCCATTGTCACCACATCTGCTGCAGCACCCCACAGTGTGGAGTCTCAGTGTCCCCCATTTCCACCCACATCCATTGAAGCACCCCACAGTGTGGAGTCTCGGTCCCCCATTGTCACCCACACCCACTGCAGCGCTGCAAACCAAAGCTTCCTTTTCCTACTTTACCCCCTCCTCACTTGGTGATTGCGTGAAAGCTGCCGTTTCCCCAGAGTGGGGCCTGGATACAAACAGAATAGGCAAGCAATACAGCTACCTTTAGATTACTCCGATGTTCAGTACCAGGCCATACAAACTCAATCTGAGGTGCCCTATGGACTCAGATAATACTTCACAACCATTAGTTGGTTTTTTTTTTCTTTTACCTTTCTAGAAATCCTCTTCGTTAAATGCCTGATCACTGGGAAATCCCATATAATATCCCACACAACAATCTATGCCAGACAACAATGCCAAGGAGTATCTAGCTAGTCCTTCGTAAACAAAAGTGGCCTGAAGAGAAATACGTTCAGAAGGGACCTTGGATGGTGGGTTCTATTTTGTCAAACTCGTCAGCATCTCTGAGCCCTTTGCTTCACAGGTCAAATTGTGAACTTTAGTCTCAAGCCTTTAGGGTCCCATATTAGCAAGAATCCTGTTTTAAAGCTTGTGTGTTGGGATGGGGAGAGTAATTTGGGAGGAGCTCAGAGACAGGATTCTGTGTTTGCTACACGCAAGGTGTTGGGTTCCATCCTCAACCCTGGAGCAAAGAATTCTGTTGATTCTGTTTATCCAGAAGCCTCCTGTTTGGGAAGCCTGATCTGCTTTGTCATCCTTTACAGCCCCCAGGAGGTGTCTTCCCACCTTCCCTGCCTTCAGCAAGAATCCTATCAGGTCAGTTGAGCTAGAATGCCCTCCCACTGAATCCCAGTCCCGTGTCTGCTCTTAGTGACTTTATACATGTACGCATACATACACAAGCACATACAGGCTCTCTGCATCTAAATCCCGACTTGTTCTCACTGTATTGCGTTGGACCCACATTTTCCCTCTGTGAGAGCCCCCTGAGCTGTTCTAGAAGCTATCGAGGTGGTTCTGAATACAGACATCCTCACTGCTTTCACAAGGGCTGTGAGTAATTTTTAACACCTTTAAAACGATGACGATTTTAAAAAAGGAATAAATATTACCCTTGGTAGTGAAGACCTGAGAATGATTCATATAAGACACCAGACACAAAAGTGCTTTAAAAATAGCGTCTGCTAAGGAAGGGCAAATGTAGTTTCTATTCTTTTTGGTATTTTATTATAATCATATAATTTCCTGAGGAGGAAACGGAAAATAATGAAAAGGCCTTGGCCTTTGGCTGGTCTGGGAACATAAAGGGAGGCGGAGTTAAAGGAGGAGGAAGCCACTGGCCCTGGCTTGCTGGGGGGGAGACCTTCAAAGGATGTGGTGGACTCTTCCCCTTTTGCAGACTGCTGGGATAAATATTGCTCCAGCAAATGCTGCTCCGGTTAAGAATAAAGCAGTGGCCACCGCTGGTAACTAATGAAAGCAGAGGCTGGCTAAGGCCTCAGTGACTGTACCCCTGGGGTCGTTGTTGTCTATGGGAAGTACGTTCAGGTTACCCTGCAAAGAAAAGGACCTCTATGCTTCATGCGATGGCTGTCTCCTCCTACCCATTACCTGTGAACACTGGTTCTCTGGAGAAGCTGTCTCTAACTTTTTTTTTTCTTTCTGATACAGGGTTTCTCATAGCTTTGGAACCCACTCTGTAGACCAGGCTGGCCTCGAACTGACAGAGATCCGCCTGCCTCTGCCTCTGCCTCCCGAGTGCTGGGATTAAAGGCGTGCGCCACCACCTCCTGGCTGAGCTGTCGCCATCTTAAAGACCCTGTAACTGTTGTATAGAGTGTCCTGACTGTAGAAAGACGGAGTGTGTGGCAGATTGAGAACTAACTTTATCTTGGGTTATTTTAGTCCTTTTAATAATCATTTACCTTTTGTACACGACCTAACATTCCCGGGACTAGTAAGTAACCTTCTCAGATGTATCATTAAACTGAGTAAACCTGTAGCCTCCTTCAACTTAACCCTAAAGCTAACAATGTCGACACCTAAGACTTTTAGAAGATTCTTCCCTGGCATGTAGCCCTTTACCTCACGCTCCCGCCAATATCATTAAAAAAAAAAAACCTGTATTGACTTATGATTTATTTTGAGACTATAAAAGCTTGTGTCACTTCTTCCGCGGTGGGACACATCAGTGAGCAACTTGAATCTGTAACCTGAGCCATTTCCACTCGTTTACCCCCGAAGTCGTCCCTACTCTCTTTGGAGCAAGGGCCGTGTTGGACGAGTTCATTAATATCTCAGTCGGTGGAGCCTTGTGCATTTTGAATTCAGAGTGAGGCTTCACAATTGGTATTTACTTAAGTCAAAAGAATTTCGACACCAGTGAATTCTATTTTATTCAATAAAGGCAACTCAGTCTAAAATTCACAGCTTCCTCCAACGGGGACGTTCAGGAAAGGATTGTTTAGCCAAGATCTTTTCTGGATCCCAAAATGAATTTGCATGTCTAAAGGTTGTTTTTATGATGTTGTATAATAATCCTCTTGCATACTTGGACAACAGCAGGCGCACAGAGGAGGGGATGAACGACCCAAATCAAGTTCGTGAAGCCTGGGAGAAGTCCTTCACAGGACCAACAACCATGGCTACGTCCCTGCCTCTCCATTCCTAACCCGTCCTGCTTGTCCACAAAGGTGCCTAGTGCTGTTTAAGATGTTCTAGAATTTAGCATTTTGGGTCTTCTCAGTTCTCGGGGACAGCCCTGACTCTGACAGACATGGCCTCAGAGGAAACCAGTGTGGCATCTGTACATGACTGTTTAGACCACCTGCGTTGTTTTTTTTTCCTTGCTTGCTGTATTTACTGGAAATACCCTGTATCTACTTGTTCTTTGTTGCTGCCAGCCCCAAGTTATCCTAGACAAGCCAGTCCCGAGCTGACTCGAAAAGGTTCTTCTTGACTCTGTCTACTTTTAATGTTCTTGAGTACCTGAAGAACATGAAGAAGGAATTTCTTAGTTTACTTACAGTACTTGGGGTTTTTTTTTTTTTCACAAGAACATAACAATTGTGGACAATTTTATTTATTTTTATGTGTGCTTAGTGTACGACTGAGTGTAGGTATGAGTGCAAGTGTTTGTGAGGCCCGAGATCAAACTGGTGTCTTTAAGGCTTTCTGCTTTTTTTGGTGTGTGTTTGGGGCGGGGGATTAAGACAGGGTTTGGTTTCTCTGTGTAGCCCTGGATGTCCTGGAACTCACTCTGTAGACCAGGCTGGCCTAGAATTCACCACCACCACCACCCTGCTTCCACTTTAAAGATCTCTTGACCCAGAACAGACTGATTGACTACTCTGGCTGGACATGAAGCTCTGGGTATTTCCTGTCTTCCTCACCCCGCTGTGCCACTTCGCTCAGATTTTTGTTTTGTTTTGTTTTGGTTTTTTTTTTTGCTGCTGGGGATCAGAACTCAGGCTGCAGCAGTCTGAGTGGCACCCTGAAAGACAACGTTCTGTGCAAGAGGACCTGGGGAAGTCAAGTTGACCAAGTCCAACTGACACTGCCAACTCACCAGCCTCTTCTCTTCTGGGGCCCTGGACCCTTCCCTGGACTCTGGTTGACATCTGTCCATCACTGCATCCGAGTAGGCCCAGGACAGACCTCATGGCAACGGAAAGTGATGGTCGCCTATCCAGAAACAGTTCTCTTTCGCTGTAGCCATCCCAGGTGCCTCCCCTCCTCCGGTGGCCCATAGCCATTAATATTTCATAGACCTTTTAGAATCAGCTTAGGACCCAGTCCCTCAGCCTGCGATCCGCAAAGCCCCGCCCTCGGCCCCCGTAGCACAAACCGGGTGAGCATGCGTATTGTGCAGCCCCACCTCAGCGTTGCCTTGGTGATCCGAGATGAACCCCGCCCATCGGGCTGTGTGAGCCGGGGGTCTAGGGGTCACTGGTGGGAAATGTCAAGTGCTTTTGGTGGGCCCGGGGTTCGTGGTCCCTGGGTAAAGGACCCGGCTGGCTGGGTTACCCTGGGGGGACCTACTTAAGGAGGTTGGGGCGGTCCTGGGGAGGGAGGGGAAGTCAGAGACTGAGGGGGGACACTGGCTGAGTGTCAGGGTGGAGGAGGGCCAGGGGGCAAGGGACTTGAGGGACTCAGCGAGCCGGCTGAAGGGCTGGAGGAGGGTCTGGGGGCGGGCCTGGGGGCGGGGAGGGGACGGCCACCCGCAACTGACCGCCCCTCCCCGCCCAGTCCTCCGCACTGTCCCAGAGCCGCGGGTCGAGCGTCCTCCCCCAGTCCGGGAGCGACGCTGAGTGGAGCGGCCGAACACACGAGATGTGGAAGCTGAGCCGGGGCCGGGTGCTTCTGGACGAGCCCCCTGAAGAGGAGGACGGGCTGCGCGGGGCACAACCGGCTTCAGCAGCTGCCCCGGCGCCGGTGAGGGCACGCCTAGGGGCGCAGGTGCGGGCCGCGGGGTGCATCGGGGGCGAGGTGCAGGTGCATGGGGGACGCGCGCCGAGTGAGGAGTTAGAAGGGACCCTACGCTTCTCGGGGCTATGAGGTGACTGGTCCCGCAGGGCTCCTCGGATTAGTGGCCCGATCGTTGCAGGTCGCGGGCCCCAGAGCCAGCATGTGTGGATTACCGCGGGGCGCGCAACCGGGGTACTTTCCGTACTGGCCGGCGGCACTACCCTTCGCTCAGCTGCCAAGGGCTCTAGGGTTCCCTCCTGGGACTCCAGGGACGCGGGGTGACCGCTTCCAGGCCAGGTGTTTCTATTCCGGGGTGGGAGAAACAGAAGCCCTGAATCATGGTTCCCCGGGACGGCGGTTCGCTCGCAAGAAAAAGCTTTTGGTGACAGTAGCAAACGCAAAGTGTGCTAAATATTTATTTGCACAACACATATTCCTTTTTTTTTTAAAGCCTTTGACTCCCCCCCACACACACACACGCCGCCCCCTCCCCCGGAAGAAGAGATCAGAGTCCTTTATACAGAAAAGGCTTTGGCCCGACAAGTGGAGAGATATGCCTGGAATGTCTAGAATTTTTTAATTAAGGTGATCCCAGGTGGGTCTGTATGAACCTTCCCCACCCACTTTTTCAGTGCGGTTTTCATCCCCTTTCATGTTCTATGAAATTGAGGTCACAAAATAAGCCAATCTTAAAGCACAGAGCTATTTTGTTACGTTTTGTGAAATACCTTGTGAAAACTGTGGATGATATAAATCTTTCTTTTTGAGAACTTGGAAATAGTCCCGAAATTGCTTCTTCCCCAGTTGGAGCGAAATAACAGTTGTTAGGAATGAAGTTTCATTTAAAACATTTCTTGGGAATTTAGTAACATTGCCAACTCACAGACATTCGAGTTGATTACTGTAGGCATTTAATTATGGTTTCTGTCTGGATCTACACTTGAGAAGTTACCTTTTGGAGTTCCTGGTGCTTACCTACTTTTTCTTAGCCTCCAAATTTTTATAGCTGAACAGCAACTCTTAAATGCAATAATGAACATCTGTTGGTAGTCTTTAGATATTTGCTTATCTTCTAGCCAGTAATACATGTTTAAGATTGCTTCGTGTGTCTTTTCATGGTTCAATATTACATTTATTTTGGGGTCTGAATAATATCTCGTTGTCTCTGCAGACCAGTTCCCCCATTTACCTGCAGGACGTCGCCGTTGCTTTCAAGCTTGGACAGTTGGTACCAAGGCCTCTGTGAATGAGCAGGGTGGGCTTTCTGTAGAAACCATTTTGGCCCGTTTAAGTTAACAAGAATGGGACTGATGGGCTGTCTGGCCAGAGTACATTTTGTTCTGTTCTGTGTACATGTATGATACATGTGTGAGTACGGGCAAGCATGCATGTGGAGGACAAAGGACAGGTTTAAAGAGTCGGTTCTTGCTTCCCCCTTCTTGAGCAGGGCCTCTCTTCGTGTTTTTACCACCTCAGCCGCTTACTCCAGTCTAGCTGGCCAGAAGGGTTCAGAACCATTCTCCTGCCTCCGCCCCCTATCTCCTATAGGAGTGCGGGAAGTACAGATGCACAGCTCTGTGTCTGAAATTGACCTCTGGTCATCAGACTTGCCCAGCAGGTGCTTTCACCCACTACGCCATCTCCCCCACCCCAGGTTCCCACGATCAGTGGGTAAGGAGCCACCGTTGACCGTCGCCGTCTTTGCCTGCTCTCGGTATGTCAGTGCTCCTGGATGTTGGACATTCTAGTCGATGTATAATGGTATCCCATTGTGATTTTTAATCTTAACCCCCACCAAGATGTGGGGCATCTCTTCTCATGCTTACTTGCCATCTGTGTGTCCCTTAAGGCCTTCGTCCCATTTTTACATCTGGTTATTGTTGTCTGAAGACTTTTTTGGATAAGGATCCCTTATCAGCTGTGTGTCTTCAAACATTTCCTCCTCCTCCTCCTCATGCTCTCCAGTGTCTCTTTCAAGGTAGAAGTTTTTAATTTCAATGCAATCCAGCTTACCAGTTATTTCTTTCATGGCTATCACACCACTGATATGTCCAGCTTATCAATTATCTTTTTCATGGTGCAAGCCTTTGCTATGTCCAGCATCCATCTAAGTTAGTGCCTGTCATCGTCCAGTTGTGACCTGTGGCTTTGTTTGTTGCATTTTAAGGATGCCTATGCTAGAATGTGCTGAAAAGATGTTGCTGTAGAAAAATCAGTAGCTAGGCTGGGTGGTGCTGACCTATAATCTTGGCACTCCAGGGACGGAGGCAGGAGGATCACAAAATCAAGACCAACCTAGGTTATACAGCCAGATGGGGGCAACTGCCCTTCTGAGATAGATTGGGAACTCAGGAGCATCGATCTAGATCAAAGCTAACTTCTCTTAGAATGAAATCTTAAAACCTGTGACAAATCCATCATAAAACTGCTACCTACAAAATGTTTAAAGTGGAGAGAAATATAAATTAATAATGGATAAGATTGACGTTCATTTTCTCTCGTGTTTAAAATACATTTTCTGATGTTCCACTTTAGTCCTTTGACTCCTCCCTCCCCTTTAGAGAGAGTTCAGTGTTGGAGCATGCCCATGGAAAGCAGCGTTCTGAGTCTAGAAAGTGCTTGGTTTACAGCCCTGCGTTCCTCGAAAAGCAGGGCATACAACTATGGTCAGCTTCTGACTGTGTGCATGTTTGCTCTGAAGAAAAAGTTGTGAGTAAGTGTGAAGTGTGGACACTCGGTGTAGTATACTGCCGTGTTCTGAGTAAGTGTGAAGTGTGGGACACTTAGATTCACTACTACAGTTTGTTTTTACATGTCAGAACAAATCCTCTGAACTTCTTTAGATTATCAGCTTTTTGTTGTTGTTGAAAATAAACATCTCATGGGTAGCACTAATTGGACTTCAGTGGGTTGTCAAAAATATGGACATAAAGTTGGGAGGGGACTGTGTTGGGGGTTATGAGTGAGTTAGAGGGGAAATGGGTGATACTGTATTTCATTGTCTTACATGTGTGAAATGTTAAAAAATAAAAATTATAATTGAAATAAAAATATAAGATTAAAAAGAAAAGAAACATCTGTTTACATTAAAATATATCACAATATAAATATGTAAGAAATACAATATAAAATTCAGTGAGGCTTATGAGGAGGATTGTGTATTGCAGCCGTTCCATATGGGGAGATATATTTTAATAAATCTAGTGTTTACTTTAAAAATTAAAGTTGATGATGCATATAGTACAAGATTTCTGAATGTTGTCAGGCCATAACTTCTTTTTTCTGTCTCAACAGATGCATTATTAAGTTTTTTTGTATATCCATTAAACATGTATGCAAATCAGGAACATGCATTTACTTCTCAGCTGTAGACACTTATGTGTGTCTTGAATTGCTCTCACTCAGGATACGCAGACTCACGAAACACTTCCTGTTCTAGCACCACCAGCTGAAATCCGCTCAAGACTCTGTGGTACCAAATGTCGTTAAACAAATGTGCCAGTATCTGTTTATTATATCAGGTCTCTCCTCAAAGACTGTGAGGTTTCTGAGTCAGTTTTTAAAACTCCTTTCCGTCCAGTTTTGTGGTAATACAGACAAGGGGATGAGTCCAGCATCAGCACCATTTCGACAGGCTCCTCCCACCTATAAATTAATGTCCTTACAAACAAGCTTTGGGGAAACTATGACACATTTCAGGTTAATTCTTTGAAGGCTCAGGTGTGCTCACATGCATTGAAATAAATCCGTCAACCAATCGGATATTTTAAAATTAGATCTGATGATGGGAAGAACCGGCGTGACCATCTTTGTCCGGATCGCATGCACCTTCCTTTCTGGGTGCTCCACAGACTCTGCCGAAGGACGCTTATTGGTGTGGATCTGGGATGGATGGAGGATTGCAAACTGTAACATTGTGCTTGGCTTGACACATGCTGGGGTCCTTTCTGATGGATTAAAATGTAAAGAGTGTAGCCCTTGGATAGGATGCAGTCCTCGCTCTGTCCTGCCCCCGTGCCTCTGTAGCTAACCCTTCATTCCATTTCATAAACAGAAGCAAATGCAAGTTCTTGCCAATGTAAGATTAACCTATGGGTACCAGGTGAAGATCACTATCAGTGCCAAGTGCTTCTTCATTCTTCGGCTGTTTCTGTTTTTGTGTTATATGATTGATTGTCTTGCCCCATCTGGGTGGCCTCAACCAAAAGATAAGCTGACAGCTTACACAGCAAGCACTTATTTCCTGGGGTTCTAGAAGTCCCAAATCCAAGATCAAAGTGTAATAGATTCTTCCTATTTATGTTGAGTCTTCATGTAAAAAGTTAGCAAAGCATAATTATCCTTGTTCTATAACCTGCTTTTCTCATTTAACTTAATATTGTTAAATAAATGTGCCGATATCTATTAGGTCTCTTCTCGGGATTCTTGAGCTTACTGAGTCGGACTTTAAAATCGCTTTCTTCGCAGTTTTGTGGCAGTAAAAACAAGGAAACGTGGAGGTGGCCAGGGTGGCCTAAAACCGCGTGTCCTGCAGGGCAGACTGGTACTCCCTCTTTCTGCATCCAACCTCACTTCCTCGGTGCTGGGATGACTGGCTCACACTGCCACACCAAGACTCTGTTTGGTAGTCTCCTTTCTAGACTTTGTGTGACTTCTGGAGCAAGAGCTTTTGGGAGTCTGGACCCCTCGGCATTTCCATTGCTGGCCTGCACTTTCTTTTAGAAGCACAGCTGAGATAACATTTATATAACATTCTGCTTTCCCATGAAATATGGCAGTGCCGTGGTTCTTAACATGTTCACAGGTGCAGTCAGTCTGAGAACCTGCAGGAGCGCTGTTCTCCGTAGCTGTCACCCTTGGTCCTGCCTCTCCATCTCTCCCCTCACAGTTTAGTTGCTAGGGAATTTCATGTACGTGGAATCATGCGATCCTGTGGGGTTTGTGGCTGGCCTCTTGTACTGTGGTGG